CAACACGGATAGAATGGCGGAATCGAATGGTTTTGGGAGGACGTTCGCCGAAGGAGTAGATGAGTATCGATCGACGCCGGCCACTGTTTTCGAAAGCACGGAAGAATCGGAGAATAGGATTGTTGGATTGAACGTTGTCAGAAAAGAGACCGCCGAAAGCATCTCTGTACCTGTTCGCTAATCAAAGCTTATTTCAGGACTAGGGGCTGTCGCGCATCCTCCGATACTTTCCTTTATACCTTCCTCCAAAGACAGCCCCGCGCTCAAGTAGTAGGGCATAACAAATGAGGGTACTCCTCAAGTAGTAGGGCATAACAAGTGAGGCGGAGTGAGTACATGGTCGTCCTTCCTTGTGCAAGTAGTATAGCCACCAAGCTAGAGACTTGTCCCACTCTCGCAACTCCGCAGCGAGCGATTAGCGAGCTACAGCCGCTGAAAGTTCTAGTTCTAACGCCCGCCCAGTTGGACCGCCTCACTTGTTAGATGCCCTCTGACGGAGGGCCGCTCAGTTGTTCTTTGTTGGGGCGGCGGGCATTAATCGGAATCGCATGCCCTTTTCGCTGACCGCGCTCGTGCCCATGAATGATTCTGCTCTCCTTTATTACATTTTATTCATTAGGGGCATATACATTCAACTCAACCCATTTCGCAAGGTGAAACGCGTAAAAATCACGAGTGACGCAATTTTCGTGGTGCAAAAGCTCGACGCACTTCACTACACTAAAATGTGCGCTACCGTAACCCCAAATTCGGACACCGAGTTTTTAAAATTTCTTTTTCCTTCCAAGAGTTTTTCCTCTGCGTTTTTGTTGTTTTTTTTGTATTCTTTTTTTGCACTGGATGATATCAACTACTGCGAGATGTGATAGAGAGATTTGTGAGCTAGGGGTTGCACAGAGACCGCAGGGAGGTGTGACTGTGAGGGAGCGATTTTGTTTATGTTGTTCTGGAGGACGCTTCTTGCTTGTTTTCTTCTTTGGGAGATTACTTATCACTGTTTCATAATTGAAAAGCAACTATCCATGACACTTTTATCGCGGCAGCTGTCTTTAACATGCAGTTTCCTGAAAACTCAAAAAGCCATTTCTCCTAATCTCCTGTCGCAAAGTATAAACTCTGCCTTACAACTTCAGTATGAGTTGGTTTATGTTCCACTTGAACATTGTAGCCAGATGGTTTCCGTGTGATACGTCAAATATTGGAAGACATGAGAAAGGCCGTTCGGCATGAACACAGAAGAATGTGATCCGATGGCGCGACCGATTGTGCCGAGCTCTCAACATGAGCAGGGTGATATTGAGAAAATTGGTGAAGGTGAGCTATTCAATAGAAAACGAAGATAGCGTTAGATATTCACGGTTATTCGAAACACTCCACGAGGATAATTATGTGAACACAAGTGAGAAAAAAGAACTTAAAATCATGTGAACTCAAAAAAGGTAATTTTTTTCTAGTTTTTTTTCCGCTGAGCTTCTGGGCAGTCCGAAAAGGTGCTAAAGAAATGTTTGACGAGTTCACGATGAGCTCGTGTCGATAGAAAACACTTCAGTTTTTTGCACGAGAGATTCGGGTGGACACGTTTTTGTTCATGCAAAAGATCCCGACTTACGTGAACACAAGGAAATAAAAATTGTGAGAATGCACTTCTGTGACCTCGAATACTCTTAATCCTTTCTTTGACCTCCCCAAAAGTCACTAGTAATTCACTGTAGTACCCTACGTTCCCACTAGTGAGTCACCAGTAATTTTGAAAAAGAAACCAGCGATTATCGTCCAGTCGATCCGAGTGAGAGAGAGCGAGAGAGTACCGACAGCTAGGGGAGATTTGCACTCTCGCCGCATAGAAAGGATTAGATGTCACACAATCGCACACTTCAAAGCGGCACATTGTGAACGCGGCCCAGTTTGGATTTAGCATTCGGATTTAGCACACCGCTTGGCGGTGGAGCGCCACCGGTCGTGAGTCGCGCGATCTAATAGAGCGAGCGAAGTCTAAACGTGGTCTCACGCAGCCTGTTACCGATCGGTACTGGCCCTAGGGCGGCGCCGATCGATTCCCGTCTGCGGCGGTGTTCGCGTCTCTGGAACTGAAGCGCTGTTGCAATTGCAGCGCGTCGACGCAAAGCCTGAGCGCTGCCTAGACTTCAAGTAAGCACTGCTCCGTAATATCGCATACTTTACGAAGCTGGAGTATAGTAGAATGGACATATTGAAAAGCAAAGATACCAACCTGACAATTTGTAAAAAATGTGAGTTGGGGATTATGACAGAACAAAAAAGTATTAGGCGGGAATCGAAGGCGAATAGGGAGAATACCACACCGGGAGAGTCGAAGTCAGTGGATTCCTATCTGATCCTCCAGCGCTCATTCTGCGATAATGTTCTCCCATTCGCCGCGGCGATGATCGGGTTTCCTTGTGGGTGGTCAAAACCCCGTAATTTTTCAAAGACTCCGGTTATGTTATCTACTTTCTTAATTTTCGGAACGTGTTCTCAAGCCCTTTGATTTGTTGACATTTTGGTCTGAAATCACCTCTCCGTACTAATTTAGCGCTATTGATTCGATATATCAACTGGATAGATAACATGGAGAAAAGCAACATGGCTTAAATTTATTTGATAAAATATTTGTCGACATTTTCAGTTTCTATAATCCATCGTAGACAATTTTCTCCGTCTCTGAAAAGCATGTGATTGGAAAGATAACCGTTAGCATTGATAAGTAAATTGAAATGGGGATGAGCTCATAAAGAAAAATAACATACTTCCCGCTACTTGAAAGACTTGCTTCTTTTTCGACTCTAAAAATATTTGAGCTACTGTCGTTTATGCTGATTTCGTTTAGGCCTCACTAATCAACTATTCTACATTTTCATAGGCTGGAATCTTGGACACTTCATAGATTGCGTGAAAATGACCGCTGATTGTTGGACCCCTGCAGCTGCTAAATGAATCAGCCCTGTAGCGCCCATCAGCAATCGCGGAAATTCTCGGAGAAGGGTGCGGTTTTTTTCCGAATGTTTCGAATCTGTGGACGTAATTGACTGAAATATTACTGGGTCAACTACTAAATGAAATTCGCTCAACGAGCAGTCGCGGTAGTCCATTGACAGTCGTTCGCAGACGCACATTACGCAAATCGCGCAAATCGCGCTGAAGGTTGCGTCCAGACCAACGCGCTGTACAGCGCAGCAACGCGCGTTGCTGCTGCACCATACAGCGCGTGTCGCTCGAGTCGTGATTCGCGACTCGCGAAGTATGGATGACGCTTTCTTGAAAATTGTGGCACTTAATTGCAAAACATTGTTTGTTAAAATTAAGCCTCAATGAAAAGTAATAAAACAAAGCCCATCATGTAGAAAGCTTTACCGCTGTGGTTGATGTTGACGATGTCGAGTGAGACTTCTAAAATTTATTTATTTATTGATGTACTATTTTGAACCAGACACTGATTTTGCGCGCGTGTGATTCGTACAGGTTTCACGCACTAAGGATATGGTACAAAACTGGGGAACAATCTGAGATATACTCTTTTATGAGAGCGTTTTGACTATTAAGGAGAAAGTGGTACTTACAGATCTGGAATTGGATGTTGAGGAGGCTTTCGTAGGCTGAAAGTGAACTCTTCATCCCAAGTAAGGCAATTTGACTACTGATCATTTTACGGTCGTCATCCGGACAAAAAAAAGACTCCACGTCCTTATGTACTTCATAAAGACAATAAAACAACTCACTTGGAAAAAAATAAAAAATACAGTGAAAATTAGGGAGAAAATGGCCAAATTAGGCCGGAAACAGCTGATCGCCGCGTCGTGACGCGCCGCAGCCGCGTCGCGACCCTTGGCCGCCTAATCAAGTGCCCGGATGACGACTGTATATTCAGGTCGTTCCACAGGCCTTGAATAGTTTGTTACAGATTCGTTCAAAACGTTGGGATTGGAATTGGGGAGGGGATTTTATTGTTGCTATGAACCAAAAAGGGACCATTACTCATCCGTATTAGGCTACGTCTATACTTCGCGTCGACGTTTCTAGCGTACGGAATCGCTTGGACTTTTCGAGCGACACCAGCATTTTGAGCGTTTCGAGCGATTAGGAAACTGTAGGAATCGATCCGGCGTACAACGGTGTTTTGAGCATCTAGGAAAGCACGGATGTGGATCAAGCATTTTGAGCGTACGCAAGCGTCCAGGAGTTGAGAGTATGGGAAGTAGGAGGTTAGCAGACTACGGAATTGGGCGTCGTGAAGTGGCGCTTGTGCAACCACATCCTGGGCTTTGTATTCTTATTTACAGGGGAATTAAGTCTGAACAATTCTGTGCTTTGGCAGTTGTACGGTGCGTTGCACACACCGCAATTTCACCACGCCTAATCCAGTAGTCTGCTACCCTCCTGCTTCCCATACTCTCCACTCCTGGGCGCTGCCGTACGCTTGATCGATACCTATACCTTGAGGTCGCTTAAAACGCTGGCGTACGCCAAATACGCTGACGCAAATTATGAATGCAACCTGGTACTGTGATACTTTATTCTAATTACCATACATGTATCAAGTGCGTAGTTCATCAAGTGCGAGGCCGGTCAAGGAAGCTTTCCAAAAAGTGTTATTCGCGTTAAGACCGAGTCAATTCGCCTTGGAATGCTGCGGGGTGTCAGCTCAGAAACAATATGCTAGTCTGCGCGCAATTCTCGGCTGTCATGAATTGAACCCATGGACCAGTGGTCAGACAGCGTCATGGTCGAAATGTTTTCTCAAACTCCTCTACGAGATGAATGAGTAGCTTCAGTCCTGAGAGCGAGAAGAGTCGGTAATATGTAGTGTTGGGCAGGGTTCGAAGGCTTCCCTAGCGGTTTGCCTTTCAAAGGAACAGTTTCAAACTAATCTAACCTTGTCCATCTTGCTTTTGGTAATAGCACGTCCACCCCAGTTGTCAGGTACGAACTCTGGTCGTGCAAGCATCACATCCAGTATGACTAGTTTTGCCTTCAAAATGGAAAAAAAGTAATTTTTTCAGTCGTTTACACATTCTGTCATTGCTTCGTGCGTTACAGATCCATTATGCCTACATTGGCTGTGTCAATGAGAAATTTACGGAGCTCATTGTCTATATGTTCGTCACATAACTCTGTCCGATTTACCATCACATCCAGCGCATAACTTATCGCTTTATCAATAAGCATCACAACCTGAAAGCGGTAGATCTTTCGTTCCTGTGGATATACAGATACTGCTGTCGATCCGCAACCCTCTACAGTCGTGATCTCAGCAAATGATAGGGCGTGTGATGCGGGCGTGGATCGGAGGCGCGTCATACTGGCCGTAGTGTGATAGATCTGCCGTGGACTGCGCTCCGAGCCTCGCTCACCGGCTACGCGTCCTCTCGTTCGCCACGATCCATGAGTGTAGATACAATTCGGTTCTCTTCGGGGCCTTTCAACAACTACGCTGGTTAGTCCGACGGCTGCGAGTTAATGTAAGGCGGACGTCTGAGGCAATTATCATCAGGTTCTGCGCTCTTTGACATCTACTGCACGTCATAGACAACATTGGCACACTACCTACTCACCATCTTCGTTTGACTCTCGCCGATCAATAATGGCTTGTGGTTACGTCGACGTCGCCGTTAGGCCGGGCCTATGAACGGCAACCTGACAGTGCGCCCTTCAGCTGTATTGATGGCAGAGACCAGAGGGATGAGTGAGTAGCACGCCGGGCCCGTGTAGCACGCAGAGTGCGATTGTCAGAGAGCTGCGGGCTAGCGGCCGGTGCGCTAATCTACTCACAAGCCACTCCACGACAAACGGCCATCTGAACCATTTTGGCACGCCAAGGAGTAGGAACCCCTTTTGTCCGTAGAGTAACCACTGTACATGGACTCCATTATCAAATCAGGCCTATCTTCTATGATAATGCATAATGTAGCTAGTTCGACGTTAAAAACACAAAGTAGACGAGCAGAGAACAATACACAAGGCAGGCACGCTAGCTACATGAGTGGGCAATCGATTGTGCGCCACAGTCTTGTTCGATTGCGGATGATGGAGGTCAGGGACCTTCGGTTTGCACAGCGCCAGCCCCTCTCTCTTCACAGCTTGTATTTCTTAGTCCAAGGGAAGGAGTGTACGTTTGTTTGTAATAAAATTTTTTCCGCGGAGCTGTAGTCGCTGCCGCTTAACAAGCGGTGGAAAACGAGCTGTCAGCTGGCGAACCAGGCTCCCATTCATCCGCAGGCCGAACAGGACTGCTGCTTAAGACTACCGCAGGTGCGGTGCGTCTTCATTCTTGGCTAGAGAACCGTCACTGGAGCGCTCTTCATCTCACCTCAAGACTGAGAACTCAGCCTCTGGAACTGCCAACGCCGCTACCCGCCCTCGTTCATAATCCCATACAGTCTCGTTCGCCTGCGAACGCTGAGACGTTTAGGGGCGGAGGACGGGTTGGGTCTGGCGCAGATTGTTCTCTTCCATGGGGGGGGGAACCTGGCGGGTGACCAGAATTGGATGGAAAACAAGTTGGCACCGCGACCAATACACGTGGACGCGACACTCAAACGCACCACCGACGTCAGCAAGTGAGCAAGATACTGTAGTACATTGCAAAATCCGTCTCTTGCCATTGGCTCTTGTGGCGCTAACTCCACATCACTTCCACGTGAAATGAGTCTGCTGATACAAAATACTTCGTTAAAATTTTGTTTTCTTCAGCAGAAAGTGAATTCTCGAGTAACTGGTTTCTTTTGAGCTTCTCAAGTACCTCCACTGCTAGTTTTATGTGCGATTCGGGCTGGAAGCATTTGAATTGATCTTCAATGGTTGTGAACTATTGCAGTTTCTGTTTAGTCATCACAGGCGGGCTGCCAGCAGAGCGAATGTAGTCAGCAATGTTACGAGACATATTCACCTCTAGCTCCCCAGTTTTATAGATTCGGGTCGGAACTTCGACTTGTGTGGAAGTCGGTCCTCAGGTGTGGTGGTCACCAGTACACCTCCTTGTATTTCAAACAACTAACTAACTAACAACACGACGTAAAGCAGCGTTTAGACTCAACGCGCTGTACAGCGCAGTAGCGGGCGTTGCTGCGTTGCAACTACAACAGTGGTCCTTGGCCATATACTGAACGCAGCTGCGACGGGGGCGCCGATCGATTCCCGTCAGCGAAGGCTCGATCGATGGACGCCGGTCTGAGCCTCGAGAGTATGGAGAAAGAGGATGGAGGGAGAGGCACGTTAAGAGTTCGCGACGGCAGCGCCTCGGTCGCATTCGGTGCGATCGATGCGGTCGAAAGCATGCGCATCGATTGCGGCCGGAGGCGCCGCGAATGCGCTGCGTAGCGAGTCTGGACGCTGCCTGAGATTCGACACGAACTGCCTGCTCCCATCGACCAAGCCTTTGCGGACGGGAATCTATCGGCGCTGCGTTTGCCTTATAGCTTGGAGCACCGTTGTAATTGCAGCGCAGCAACGCGCTTTGCTGCGCTGTACATTGCGTTAAGTGTGAACGCCGCCTAACACGAGAAATATGTTGCAATCGAAAGAACAAGAAAGAGGGGTATCCGAGATCCAACTTCAAGATACTCTATCGAGTTAAGCTCCACAGAGTTCCCGCGTAAAGCGCAGAGGTTACGGCCAGCTGAACTTTTCCAATTGACTTTTCCTCAAACTGAGGACAAGATGATGGACTGATGTTCAAAGCGTCACAAAACGCACAAATTCGCTATCATAATCATCTGGAGGAAGTTGTGAGATTCTTCCTGGTTTATACTTTCTTAATTCATTATCCTGCTTCTTTAGCAACGACCTTAGGAACGCTATCTTCTGAAATGAAATGCTTACATGACTTTAATGAATGCAACTAATACAACCAACCTGGGTGCTAGCGTATTGGGGGAAACCACGGGGCTCGCGGCGAGCGACGATTAATCTGCTCTTCTGCCCCTCTTCGGCGAAATAGAAGTAATTTGATTTTTATGACATGAATATGACAGTGCTCTAGGGTGCTTTATTCAGAAGGTAAGACAGTAAACGCTGAAAAGTGCGAAGAAACAACTGTAGGCTGGAAGATTTTTGCCTGAACCTACAAGGGAAGGAATTCCGGCCTAGCTGAGCCCACCCGTTTGTGTAAAAGTGACTATTAAATGCGATGTCCGCGATCAGGTATAGAGGTTAAAAATACTGCGCCGGGTGGACAGTGCGGTCCGCGACGAACAACCCTGTACCGGTTTCACGGCAAAAAAAGTGTAAGGGAGGGAGGGGCGAAGTTTCAGTGACGCCTCCTTTTTACTGACTCCGCCTCTAGACTCCGCCTCCAAGGCTGGCTGTCCAGTGAAAAACGAGGCTGCAGGACGAAAAAGCATGAAAATCGTCACTTGTACGGTCGTAGAGTTCTTATCGGGGAATCAGCTGTGCGGATGAAGGCGTAATGTTGGAGATGGAGTTAATTGGGCACGTACAAATTGGGATCGGAACGGGTTCTATTTAGGACATTGGCATGTTTTGTTCTGCTTTTTTTCTTCACTATCGGGTTACTCTGAGCCTTGTCGGCGATATGCAGAGCCCGGATTCACTATCTGTGATGGCAAATGATCGCGGTCTTTGCCTTTGAATACACTGGATGTCCGCAGAATCGAAAGAAGAATCTTCTCCAATAGCTCCCTACCAGGTCGTAGCAATTCACTCGGAGCGGTTTCCTCACAATAACATCATAAGACAATCACCTCACCAATTCACCTAACCTTCCTTCAAAGTCTGTGCGTTCCCCGCTTCAAATATGACGGGACCATCTGTGGGGCTTTGATTTGTTCTAATTTGGCTGCTAGTTTCGCGCTTCAAACATCTCGGGAACCATCTGTGGCCGGTTTCTAACACTATCTCACCGAGGACGAAGCAGAAGGGCAGATGAGTCATCGCTCGTCGGAACCGCATGGTCTCTCCAAGTACGTTAGCACCCTAACCTGATGGTACCTACCCTGTCCCTCCTTTGCAATTTCGACCGAAGAAATACTATGGTTTCCCTCGCTTTACTGAGTTCAACCTCTACTGAACTTTCCTTACTCATTTTTCGCCGCTTAATCTTTTTGTGGTTTTCTCGTGGTTCTCCTGAAGAGAAAAAAATGGTAATCTAGTGGTCTCTGATAGTGAGTTATACAGCGATCTTTCAAACTATACTGCTATATAGAAAGGGTGATAACCTCCGTGGCATCCATAGCTCTCTCTACTGACTTTGTTCTTTCTACCTGGAATCAGTGTTATCAGTGTCCGCTCCCAGTTGCCAGAGAATTTTCCGCTGCAGACGATGGGCTTATCATGGAGGCTGGGTTGAAAGCAGTGCACTTCCTTAAACCCCAAGTTGTTGAGTCGCTTTGGCGCTCAAAGCACTCTGATGGGTAACGGGTTGGTGCCTCCCAAATCAGGCCGCAGCGTCTGCAAGCAACCGGAAACCGACTAACTATTCCAATCCCTCTCATTTTTCCTTACTTAATGGGAGTTTTCCTTCTAGTGTGGATTATTGCTTTTAAATCGTTAGAGACTAACTGCATCACCTCCTTGGATCCTGATCCTTGCCGTGTAGGCGGAAAATGGGTTCCCAGCTGCAGTAGAGTGCCGCGTTTCCGCTCATATGGAAGTGCACGGGAACAGAGCTTGAAGGTAGTGATACCCGGGCAATATTAATACTCGCCCGCGCTGCCGCACCGCCATCCTCACGCTTGACCACTACCAAACGTGCTACTGTGCTTGTCTGCCACCTCTGATTTCCGGCTGCTCTCTACAGTTGAGTACGAGTTTCACTGAGCAACCTCTACGTGCGTCTACGGTCCGTCTACACCATCTACATCTACGCTAAGACTGGCACCCTGGATAGCGCGGCGCAGGAGTAATGGTAAGACGCACAGCGGGGTGCCAACTACCCTCACAGACGGCCAGTCCCGTGCACTTTGAACGAGTAGGCAGAGCTGTTGCTGCTGCGGACCCTTTCGCCTCGTCCATGACAAGGAGCTGAGTGTACAGTCTGTCGTCAAGATCATAAGTTTGACGTTACCTGTGGATCTTTCATTTCACCTGAGAAAATCGTGGACCCTACTGCAATAAATATACTGTGGAATGTCATACCGTTGATGCGAGCGACTCGCTTCTTCCTGCAACAGTATTATACACGCGTCTACTAACTCAAGCGCCTGTTCTGACTGCTTCGGTGGGGAGAAGCGGGGGGGTGAAGGGGGGGAGGGGGGTGGTGAGAGCATTTTGCCCTTTCACTAGCTCATGTTGACTAACAGGTTTCACCTCGGTGAGACCTGTGAACTCCTGTAAGCTACGCAATGGTACTGAAGAGCCATTTGGGTTACAATACTTAACAGGCCCTCATGGGGAGAGTAGTACAAGCTTCGCTATCTAACATTTGGTGCTCCCACCCACCAAGCCGAACTGCGTCTTGTTATCGTAGTTAGAGAACGGCTAGTTTAGAAAAATTCGCTGCCAACTTCTTGTGAGTGCTCAGTCTCCCTACTGTGCGCACCTACTCGCGAAAAGTTCTTGTTTTCTCATTTAGGGTGCCGTAATTGGTCGACAGAAGTTACTTAAAGGCAGTTTGCACGATAAATCCCTAAAACCGAGCAGGATTAATACGCCTGGCAGGACGGAATTCCTGCGACCCTGAGCAGGCGCTGCGTAGCGCCTTTTCCATAGAGGTACCCTTATAAGGGCCCTATCAAGCTACAACATACCGACCCGAACGCCCACCACGCCCGCCCGCCCACAAATGGACGACCGTTCCTGATGCTCGTATTGCTTCATTTGCTAAGTAAATTATGAAGCGAAGGGATTGGTATGAAGCGGCTGCGGTGCTGCGTGGATATATGTGTGCACACTTGCAGCCATACACTTAATATCACCGCAATTGTCGGGTCGCAATCTGCGGTTCTCAGCTGCGGCGTTTCCATCATTGGTTGTTTCCTTCCCAAATCGATCTCTACCCGATCGCCATTGGTAGAGCAAGGCAGCCGGACGCGGCTCGACG